GGATGAATGATGGGATCATCACAGGCAGTATCTTGAGTATGTGGAAACACAAGTGGTGAAACTGCAGCAGAAGATGAAAAAGGGAACACATGTTCATGGAAAATAACATCACGGGAGATAAAGATTTTACCCGTGTGAAGGTCGTAAACTCGATATCCCTTGGTGCCATATGGATACCCAAGAAAAAGACACCGTGTGGCTCTTGCATCAAATTTTTGTGGGACGATGGTGGTGGGTGGAAGAAAAAACATAAGCAACCAAACACTCGCAAATGTGCATACGCTGGCTGTTTGTGGTGAAGTATTTCATAGGGTGATTTGCCTTGAAGAAGAGGAGTGGGAGTCCTATTTATGAGATAAGTGGCAGTGAGGATTGCGTCACCCCAAAATTTCTTAGGAAGATGAGATTGAAAAAGTAAGGCTCTAGCAACATTGAGTAAGTGGCGGTGTTTGCGCTCTGCTACCCCGTTTTGTTGGGGAGTAGAGACACAACTTGTTTGATGGAGAATCCCCTTATCTGAAAAAAATTGGGTCATTAAAAATTCTGGACCGTTATCACTACGAAGAACCTTGACTCGTGTGGAAAATTGTGTTTCAACAAGGTGGATGAAAGTGATGAGATAAGATCGTGCATCTGATTTGTGATTCATTAAATAAACCCATGTGCATCTTGAGAAATCATCCACAATAGTTAAGAAATATTGTGCCCCTGTGATAGTGGGAACATGGTAACCTCCCCAAATGTCAACATGAATTAACTCAAAAGGAGCCTTTGTGGTGATAGAACTCAAAGGAAAAGGAGCACGTGTTTGTTTGGCTAATGGACAGATCAAACAATCATCAATGCTACAAAAATTCAAATTTTTAATGCAAGTAGAGAGAGATGCCGTAAGGTCGTGTTGGAAAGATGGCCAAGGCGTTGATGCCAAAGCTGAGAAGAAGAAGAGGCAACAATTGACGCTGAATTGCACGTGGTTTTCATCACATTATCAAGGTAGTAGAGTCCTTCTCGTTCAGTTCCCGTCCCAATCATCTTCCCCGATCGTTGGCCCTGAAGTAGACACATTTTATCAGTGAAGATGACAAAGCAAGATGAGGTATTAGTGAGTTTGCTGACAGAAATTAAATTCAGTTTAAATGATGGAACACAAAGCACGTTGTGAAGGATGAGATCATTCGAGAGATGAACTGTGCCAATGTGTGTGACATCGGCAAGTGCATGATTGGGTAAGTGCACTTGTCGATTGTATACCGGAACACTTGTGGTCATTAAGCTTGGTGAGTAGACCATGTGGTCTGTGGCGCCTGTATCGAAAATCCAGTTTCTTCCCTTATTGAGAGCAGAAGCACAAAAAACTCTATCTGACAAATTATTCATAGTAGAGGTGGTACCGACATGATTAGATGTGGAGTTGGATTGGCTCTTATCAAGGAGTGCAAGCAGGTTGTGATATTGCTCGGAAGTGAGAGCCATGGTGTGTTTGCTGGAAGAGTCAGTTGCCATGTCGGCAGGCAGTGGCTGTGCTTGGCAGTGCTCTGCGGCAGTGCTTAATGGCAGTGCTCTGCGGCTGTGCTTAATGGCTAGCAGGTAGAGCAACGACGATGGCTATGTAGTAGCTTGGCAAGGCAGAGAGTATGTAGCTTGCAGTGAGTGTGCAGCGAGTGTGCAGCTTGCAGTGAGTGTGCAGCGACGATGGCTGTGTAGTAGCTTGGCAAGGCAGCGAGTATGCAGCTTGCAGTGAGTGTGCAGCGAGTGTGCAGCTTGCAGCAGGTTGTGGCTGTACACAGTATAGCAGCGGAAGAGTGAAGGCAGAGTAGAGCAAAGGATTATCTGTGCTCTGATACCATATTAAGTTTAATATTTGGTTGTGTATCAAATTAATTAACTGCTGTAATGGCAGTTTGTTTTATATACATCTTACACACACGCATGCATTTAAACAAATGCATGCAATAAACAAATGTGGTAAAGGTGGCGTGCTTGCTGCCCATGCTGCAACACATCAGAGCACAGGAGTCGAAACCATGTGGTAGTCTGCTGACAAGGAATATTGTACCCACGTGCAGTAGTGGGACAAGTTCTCTCAACATACATGTATAGTCCTTAATTTTTGATTGGTAAAGAGAAGTAATTATATAGATAATCCAACCCTTAATCCATGTTTTATTGCTTAGAAAACTACTTACAAATGTGAAATTTTCCATCTCCAAACTTTGTTTTTAGATGAACAAAAAGTTTAGAGGCAGATCGACTACTCTCACCACCAACATTAAAGCATATCCACAATCTCAAATTGAAAGAATATACGCGTGACAGCTAACTACGACTCATACACTAAACAATACAAGGAGGAATCCAATAGGAGCTTCCACTTATGAATTATTAGTGGTAGGGTCCCTTTTCCAGCTAATGGACTAGGAGGTAGTCCAATCTAGCTTATAAATACAGTACGTGCATGTCTTTTTCTTCTATGATTAAATAATATAATAACAATTACCAATATTTAAATTAGATTCGTATGAAGTATGAACAAGTTATAGTATCAATTGGTGCATAATTTACACAAGATAAACTTTGATTAATATACGCTATCTATCTCTCATCTCCACCACCACCACCATGCAGTACGCACGCAGGGTCACATTTGACGGCCAATTTCAATATCTGATCATTATTGTGCTTTTTCATGAGACAGATATACAAGTAATATGTATTTATCGTTTTTAGAGATTATTTTTTAATGGCACTAGAAACACCAACGTTACTATGTATACTAAATTTTAGTTATTAATTGATGTTTCATGATATAGGTCTAGCGGCAAAGGGGAAGCTATGAAGGGACCAGGATGGTCCTAGACTTATCCTAACATTTGTTTTTACGCAGAAATATTTGGTTTTATGCTTATGATTTTCAAGGTTATTATGTAGGCTCAAGGCCTAAATCCAACGTTTTTACTTTACTTTTTTTATCGGATTTACTTTACTTTATTTCTATGGAGTTCAAGCAATCTATTGCTTGTGCGCTTTGAGGAGGACTCCATTTTGGAAATCAGTGGAGCAAAGAGGAAGAAAGTCCTAAAAGCTTGTGATTTAGGTTTAAGGAAGAGGATGATGAGGACGTCACCATACCAGGTCCAAACGATGGTGCTCGGTTGCTCACCACATGACGGAGTAATTTTTGTAAGATCAGGAGAGTGTTTTAGATTGAGACATTTGGGCTCCTCCTAGACTAAAATCCTGACTTTGCTACTATCTACTGGTGAACTTTATTTACTCGTATCAAATCAAACATCGCAATATTTCGGTTACCAAAATTGTGGGTAAGAAGTTTATATCTTAGTGTTATTATCACAAGATTGTAATGTTTTTTTTAATATCAATATGGTGGTGAGATTGAAAGTTGGTTGAAGGCACATGATAATCATCACCCTCAGCAACTGTCCACATTAGCCTAATCAATGTTAATGCTAATTTAAGTGAGATTTCCACTAAAACCATCGGATGAGGGATGATGATTGCACTAATGTGGAAGGAAAATATCAGGATCAAAATCAAACGACAAACAACAAAAAGATGCCTTATGATTTCACGTCCAAAAATAATTAAACACCGTAGAACAATACATATATCAAAATTGTTTCCCTTGTGAAACACATCGCAACAAAAATTGTGACGTCCAAAAATTCCATTTCACAATTCAATATATATCAAAATTGTTTTCCGACGACCGTGATGGTGTCGACGGAGAGAATAGAGGAAGACGGTATTGGACTCATAACCTATGTTAATCGACAAGTTATGTAACCCGTGCTATTCTGGTTGGACTTGTAATCAAAGTAGGAATCCGATACGTGATCGCCCATTATTTGCATAAAAAACGGTACAATAGACTCAAGTCAATTTTAATGGTTCATAGCCTATCTCATCAGACTCATCAAACGAATCTTAAAGACCTGTAAAAGTAAAAGCATGGTGCCAAATTTAGTAAATTTTACCCATTCATCTGAAATCATGGACAGAGGGAGGTAAGGCCCAGTGGGGGCACATGCCCCCTCTTATCCTTTTTTTTTTCATTACAAATTATTCAATTAATCATTCTCATTTTTTTTTTGCTTTGCAGATTATTCAATTAATTATATTAAAATAATGAAAATCCTCTTTTAGTTTTTAAATGTTCCTTCATTTTGGATAGTTTTCTCACGCACTAATGTCTAAATCTTATTGAGTTGCATGTATTTGGTTAATTAGTACAAATGAGCATTAGATTGTCAACAATTAAAGATAAAATTAGACAATAGAGTAATAAAATTAGGCATTTTGTAATTAATTTTTTCTGCATTTGTAAAAGAACTAGCTTTAAATGTCCAAAAAATGAGCTCAAATTTTTTAAGGTGCCCCCTCTTAGTTAAATTTCTGGCTTCGTTCCTGTCTGAAATTGTTATTAGGTAGAGTAGGCTTATGCAGCACCTTGCCCTCTAGGCTTTTATACTATGTTCACAAGACATTGCTACACATATTTAACAAAGAAAACCAGAAAATAATTGAATCCTACCACAATGATTAAACCAAACCTAATAAAACCGAGCTTAATTAAGTATACTTAATTACTTTTTTTTTATTGACTTTAGGTATTTAGGCTGCCCCACTAAACACCAGCAATTATGAAGAGACAAATCACTTTTTAAACCATAGGAGTCTAGGAGGAGCATAAAAGAATCAAATTTGCAATCACTTCACAAGAGTTTGTTAGAAAAGAGATAAAGCAATTACAATAAAATAAATAAATAAATAAATAAAGTAATACTACAATTATCACATTTTTATATTACATTTGTAACATGTTTTCGATAGATTTAAGGTCCATCAACACATGTGAATTCCGTCTCTTTCAGAGATAAAAATTTGATATGAAAAATATGGTAATAGTAGTTTTTTGTAATTTTAATTTCCCACCATCAGTTTTCTAGTGGGGGACATCTATTTAAATGGAGGAGAAGTATCAAACAAAATCTCTCACGCTGTGTGAAATTGCACTTCCACTTCCACTTCCATCGGCCCTTGTAATTTTCCCGTACAAAAAAAAAAATAAAAACTCCCCTGTTCCCTGAAAACTCAGAAAATCTCAGAGCTTGCAGAAAACTGAGAGGATGAAGATATCCAGTTTCATGCTTCTGCTACCAGTCATGCTTCTTGCTCTCTCTCGCATCTCCGCTATCGTAGCGGAAGACGCGAGAGAGCAGCAGGTGAAAAAGACTTACATCATTCACATGGACAAGTCCGAAATGCCGGCGAGTTTTGAAGATGATCATTTCCAATGGTATGATTCTTCTTTGAAATCCGTGTCGAGTTCAGCCGACATGCTTTACACTTACAAGACCATAATCCACGGCTTCGCCACCAGGCTAACCGCCGAGGAAGCTGAGCTGCTTGGGAAGCAGTCGGGAATTCTGTCCGTTCTGCCCGAAAGGAGGTACGAGCTGCATACAACTCGGACGCCCGAGTTTCTTGGATTAGGAAAGAGTGAAGCCCTCTTGCCGGCGTCGGGTAAAGTGAGTGAAGTGATTGTCGGAGTGGTGGACACTGGCGTGTGGCCTGAGCTCAAAAGCTACGACGACACAGGGCTCGCGGCGGTACCAAGTGGCTGGAAAGGGGTGTGTGAGGCGGGAACAAACTTCAGCTCCTCAAACTGCAACCGGAAACTCATAGGCGCGAGGTTTTTCTCGAAAGGGTATGAAGCTACAGTTGGACCAATCGATGTGAAAACAGAATCGAAATCACCACGAGATGATGATGGCCACGGAACCCACACCTCATCCACTGCAACCGGTTCCGCAGTTTCAGGAGCTAGCCTCTTTGGTTATGCTTCGGGGACAGCGCGAGGGATGGCGCCACAAGCTAGATTGGCCGCGTACAAGGCGTGCTGGCTTGGTGGGTGTTTCGGCTCTGATATCACAGCTGCAATGGAGAAGGCCGTGGAAGACGGTGTCGATGTTTTATCTTTGTCTATTGGGGGATCACAGTCTGAATATTACAGAGACACTGTTGCTATTGGAGCTTTCTCTGCCGCGGCGCAGGGGATCCTTGTGTCGTGTTCAGCTGGTAATGGAGGACCGGAAGCAGGGAGCCTGTCCAACGTTGCGCCTTGGATAACTACAGTGGGTGCTGGAACATTAGACAGGGATTTCCCGGCTTTTGTTAACCTCGGAAGTGCAAAGAAATACAGAGGTATATCACTGTATAGGGGAACATCCTTATCTAGGGGATTGCTTCCGCTTGTATATGCTGGCAATGCAAGTGTCTCCTCCAGTGGCGGGCTATGCGCTCCTGAAAGTCTGACTCCCTCAAAGGTTGCAGGGAAAATTGTGGTATGTGATCGAGGGGGAACCCCTAGGGTCCAAAAGAGTTTGGTGGTGAAAAAGGCCGGCGGTTTAGGGATGATTTTGACGAACACTGATGCTTACGGAGAGGAACTTGTTGCGGATGCGTATCTACTGCCTACAGCAGCGGTTGGTGCGAAAGCTGGTGCTGCAATAAAAAGCTATATTGCCTCGCAATCTAATCCTACAGGCACAATTGCGCTTGGAGACACGGAGTTAGATGTGCAGCCCTCTCCCGTGGTGGCATCATTCAGCTCAAGAGGACCGAACCTAGTCACCCCGGAAATACTCAAACCAGACCTAATAGCACCGGGAGTAAATATCCTTGCTGGGTGGACTGGTGCGATTGGACCAACCGGACTAACCGAAGACAAGAGGCATGTCACCTTCAACATCATTTCGGGTACTTCCATGTCATGCCCGCATGTGAGTGGTTTGGCCGCCCTTGTCAAGGCCGCTCATCCAGAATGGAGCCCTGCAGCCATTAAGTCTGCACTCATGACTACATCCTACACAGCATACAAAACTGGAGAAACCATCATAGATGTAGCATCTGGAAATCCTGCAACGCCGTTTGATTATGGTGCTGGGCATGTGGATCCGATGGCAGCCCTCGACCCTGGCCTTGTTTATGATAATGCGGTCGAGGACTACTTCAGCTTCCTCTGCGCCTTGAATTATAGCTCAACTGAGATCAAACTAACCACTCACAGAGACTTCACTTGCGATACAAGCAAGAAATACAGGCTTGGAGATTTCAACTACCCGTCTTTTGCTGTTCCCCTAGAAACATCTTCTGGCACAGGGGGTGGAACAGGTGCTTCAACAACTGTAAAATACACAAGGACACTGACCAATGTGGGTACCCCAGGAACATACAAGGTCACGATAACTTCACAGGCGCCATCAGTGAAGATCTCGGTTGAGCCACAATCACTGACTTTCAGTCAAGCATACGAGAAGAAAACATATACCGTGACTTTTGTTGCTGGTTCTTCACCATCCGGTACAAGCAGCTTTGCTCGGTTGGTATGGTCCGATGGGAAACGCACAGTAGGCAGTCCAATTGCTTTCACCTGGATATAATTTTGAACAGCAGCATTGAACAACTGATCTAACTCAGATCAGGGGTTTTAAGGTTCCTGCAAAAAGCCCAATTGTATATTTCTTAGTATGTTGTGAAATTATCCTGTACCTCTCTTGTATCGTAGCAACAGCGCGAATGTAGCCGGTTCATGTGTTTTTTTCTTCACAGTTGAAGTTAAAATGGGAAAGAAGAACAGATGGAAAATAATTGTACAGGAAACTGTGTGAGGAATGGACATGGGGGCATTGAAAAGAATTACCAATTTGTATTCATATATATAATATGTAGCCAAAATATATGGATGATATAATCTTCCATTTTCTCACTTCTGGGCCTCTTTTTTTTTTTTTCACACCAAAAGAAAGAACACCTGGGATCATATTGTAATCATCACAACTTCACAAGACAGGCTACCAATTTCGGGTACGACAAGTTACACGATTCGAAACCTGTACGAATACAGTTGTTTCCGATGTGATAAACGCCCACAGGCACCTCCCTCGTACCCCTGACCAGAAGATGGTTAATTTAGCACGATTCACTTCTTCCTTTATCCTTTGATGCTTAAATTGGACCGCTTATCCAAATCCATTCATGAAGTCCAATCAATGAAACAAATCTGCAAATGTGAATGGAATCCCGACTTTTTCCGCCTACGCGGACGCTTGACTCAATGGACAAAAATTAACAAGATGTGTAGAAAAAGAAAAATCATGTGCGGATTTTAATTCCAAAAGGAAAATAATACTAGTACTATTTTAAGTGCCATGTGATGTAAGTTTCTTTTTCCTGTTTTTTAGTCAAGTGCCATGTGATGTGGGTTTCTAAGAGGGAATCTCCGGCACTCTCATGTGCAGAACAGAGTACAAAGAGAGCAACCGGAGAGAAACTCCCATATTTGCCAGAAACTCGATGTTCTCAGACTTGCAAAGATTGAGACGATGAGAATGTCGGTTTTCATACTTCCCGTGGCACTTGCGCTTCTGCTGCTCTCTAACATCTCCGCAATTGCAGAAGACGAGAAAGAGCAGCAAATGAAGAAGACGTACATCATTCACATGGACAAGTCCAATATGCCAGCAAGTTTTGAAGATGACCATTTCCGATGGTATGGCTCGTCTTTGAAGCTGGTGTCGGATTCAGCAGACATGCTTTACACATACACAAACGTAATCCACGGCTTTTCCGCGAGGCTGACTCTTGCAGAAGCTGTGCTGCTTGAGAAACAACCAGGAACTGTTTCTGTCCTGCCTGAATTGAGATATGAACTTCAAACAACTCGGACGCCTGAGTTCCTTGGAATATCAGGAAAACATGCAGCTGTCTTCCCTGGATCGGTTAAAGTGAGTGATGTGGTTATTGGAGTTGTAGATTCAGGTGTGTGGCCTGAGAGCAAAAGCTACGATGACAAAAGTCTCGGCCCTGTGCCGAGAAGCTGGAAAGGAAAGTGCGAGGAGGGAAAGAACTTCAACTCCTCAAGCTGCAACCGAAAACTCATTGGTGCGAGGTTTTTCTCAAGGGGGTATGAAGCAGGACTTGGACATCCCATGAATGAAACCAAAGAATCAAGATCACCAAGAGATGATGATGGTCATGGAACTCACACTTCGACCACTGCAGCCTGGTCCCCTGTTCCAGGAGCTAGCCTCTTCGGCTATGCTTCAGGGACAGCAAAGGGAATGGCAACGCAAGCTCGAGTAGCCACATACAAGGTTTGCTGGCTTAGTGGGTGCTTTAGCTCCGATATATTGGCCGCAATGGACAAGGCTGTTGAAGATGGCGTCGACATTCTATCTTTGTCTATTGGGAGAAAAGGGTATGAAGATTATTACAGACGGTATTGACATTGGAGCTTTCTCTGTTGTGGCGAAGGGAATCTTCGTGTCATGTGCAGCCGGAAATCAGGGGCCATTTAAGGTCAGCTCGAGCAATAATGCTCCTTGGATAACCACTGTCGGTGCTGGAACATTAGACCGGGATTTCCCTGCATATGTTAGCCTTGGAAATCGAAGAAAATACAGAGGTATATCAGTCTACGGCGGAACATCCTTACCTAGTGGATTACTTCCACTTATTTATGGAAGCAATGGAAGCAATCTATGCATTCCTGACAGTTTAGTTCCTGCAAAAGTTGCTGGGAAAATTGTGGTATGTGATCAAGGGGAAAACCCTGAGGTTGAAAAGTGTGCGGTGGTCAAAAGGGCTGGTGGTGTAGGGATGATTTTGGCGGATGCTGAAATTAACGGGGAAGAACTAATTGCCGACGTGCATCTACTGGCTACAATAATGGTTGGCCATAAAGCTGGTAAGGCAATAAAAAGATATATTGCCTCCCAGGCAGATCCAAAAGCGCACTTTGCTTTCGGGAAGACACAGTTAGGCGTCGAACCCTCACCAGTGGTGGCAGCATTCAGCTCTAGAGGACCAAATCCAGTCTCTCCGAGCGTACTCAAACCAGACCTGATAGCACCGGGAGTGAACATCCTAGCTGGGTGGACTGGTGCAGTTGGACCAACAAGACTAGATGACGACACCATGCGGGTGAGCTTTAACATCCTCTCAGGTACATCCATGTCGTGCCCACATGTGAGCGGGTTGGCCGCCATTCTCAAGGCTGCTCACCCAAAATGGAGCCCTGCAGCCATTAAGTCTGCTCTCATGACCACATCCTATACAACATACAAAAATGGAAAAACAATCAAAGATATTGCTACTGGAAATGCTGCAACACCATACGATTACGGTGCTGGGCATGTAGACCCCGTGGCAGCCATTGACCCTGGCCTTGTTTACGATCTTGCAGTCAAGGACTACCTAAGCTTCCTCTGTGCCTTGCATTATACAACAACAGACATCAAGAAATTGACTCACAGAGACTTCACCTGCGATTCAAGCAAGAATTACAGCGTTGGAGATCTTAATTATCCATCTTTTTCTGTAGACCTATACACAAATTCAAACAACGGTGGAGCAGGTACCGAAAAATACACGAGGACTCTGACCAATGTTGGTCCACCAGCAAGATACAATGTCTCTGTGTCCATAGACTCTACACTTGCAGCGTCAGTGAAGATCTTGGTTGAACCAAAATCACTGAGTTTCAGTCAAGCATATGAGAAGAAGACTTATACTGTGACTTTTGTAACTAGTTCCATGCCATCTGGTACAGACATATTTGCTCGCCTGGTCTGGTCTGATGGGAAACACATAGTGAGTAGTCCCATTGCTATCAGCTGGTTTTGATTTTAGCAACAATCCTGAACCTAATTTACCTACAGATCATGGTGCTTATAAATTCATTGCATTGTGCAGTTTTTTTTTTTTTTTTTGTGTTTTGTATTTTGTCCAAGTTATCGCCCACAACACATCGATTTTCTATTTTCTGGAAATCCACATTGAGAATTATACTCAATTAGCAGTTGAAAAGAGACATTCAGAAATTTAAAATATCACTACAAAACTAGAAATTCATAGAGCTGTCTACAATGCAATCATCATGAAATCAATCACAATGAAATATCTTGAAGTTACAATAAGGAAAAAAAGCTAAAATATAAACTAAAGCGAAGTCCAACTATCATTCCGTATCATCTACAGACTGACAAACGGGGAGGTAATAAGTATCGAGCTGCCAATACTTTTGTTTGACACCTTCCCAAACTTCGTCTCCTAAACAATCCTTGACAGGCAATGGAATGAACTGTGTAGAGTAACCCAAATTCTGAAGCTCTAGAGAGACCAAATGACAGTAAACAACATGGAAGAAGGCATTACCTCCGCAAAGGCCATTGAAGAACGAGTAGATTCCCCCGGGCTTCAACAACACGGGAAGATGCTGGTGGAACTCTCTCAGGTCTTCGTAGTACTCTCCGTAGGTGTCAAAGAAAATCCCTGCACAAACGAACCCAAAATTTCATAAATTTACATAAATTGAAGCTTAAACCGTCAATTGAATTAGCTCATTTCTATTTCACCTACCATCATATGATTTAAGCTGAGGTAGCACATCCTGCCATCGGCCGAATATTATGTTCACATTATCCTTCTGAGCCCAACCGGTTCGAATCATACGCTGATAAACCTCCGGGTGAGCCTCAACGATGGTGTGCGAAGCAGGGGAGTATTTCTGAATGGCTGTATCCACAAGCCCCATTCCAAATCCAATGTTCAATATATGGCCACCTCCGGAACAAACCGCTTTCGCGTGCGCCTCCATTAACGGATGCTCCCACGCCATCATCACCGCCTTACAATTCGAGTCCATAAGCTTATCCTCACTAAAGCTCACTCTGTCTTCCAAATAATCACCATCGCTATCCCCGTCCTTCTTCTCCCTCCGCGCAATCGTTCCGAGTACCAATTCAGCTTGAATCCCTAATATTCAACTCACATCAATCAAACACTTGCATTTCTGATTCATAAGAAAAAATCCAAATTACAATCATTTTCTAATTTCTATGATAAATTACGTACCGGCATTGAGGAGGATGTCGTAGGCGTCCTCGTGGCCTGCTTCCATGGCGAAATCGCCGGCGGAGAGATTGGAGGGGGATAAGGCGTTCCAGGGCGCGCCAGCTTCTAGAAGGGCTGTGACGGCGTCGGCGTGGCCCAGCTTGGCGGCGTGCATCAGCGGATTGAGGCCTTCACCGTCGAAGTACGTAACGTCAGCTCCGGCGAGTATTAGAGCCTTCAGCTTCTCGGTGTCGCCGTTCCTCGCCGCCTCACATAGCTGCGCGCCTTCTTCCATGTCTGTCTCAGTGTACAGTGCTGGTCAAAACCCTGGTCAAGGTTTATAAAGGTGTGCTCTTCTATTTGCACCCAGCATCGGGATCTTATTACCCAACAAAATACAAACTTCCAATTTTACCCCTACACATTCCAAATTATTTTAAAGGACATATTGGCTTGAAATTGATATAAAAAAATAAATCTTGATCGCGCAAGTGATCAAACACTCTTATAAACTCATCGTATCACTTATGTATGACTCATTTTATCTTTGTAATCATTAGAATAACCAATTTTGGTTAATTCAACACTTAAAGGTTGTAATCATTATAAAATCCTAGTGCATATTTTTTATGAGTAAAATTGAGGGGTACAATTGGAAGTTTGTTGGGTAAAGAGACCATAAATGGTGGGTGGAAAATGAAGTAAAATGTAATACTGGATAATAAATGTTGGGTGAAAATAGATGCATACTAAATGTGGGCAAGGAAAGACCATGCTGATCTATGTCATAGAAAATGAAATTTTTATACAACCTAGATCTTTCTTGAACCACCTCAATTTTCGAGTCCAACTATTCTAGACACAAAAGATTCGGAGATCCTCAATTTGAAAAAGAGCTACACCTATATACGTTGCAGCCTAGTAGCATAAAAACAACGCTGAGACTAATAACTTATGTACTTATGAAGAACCATGTTCACTGATGCGTGTGAAGTTCACAATTCATCAAATTAGAATCAGCGTACTCAAACGTGAACAACTCCTCGTTATATAAGTATAATAAACTCAATTCAAGTGACTAAAATTACGGTTGTATCTTAAGAAAAATGGGTGAGGAAAACGGTTGAGAGAAAAAGGAAATAGCCAAGAAAATTGTTAAACAATTGAAGTAGCGATTATAAAAGCCAAGGAAGTTGTCAATGGACCACAATCACCCACGCGGTGGCGCATCACCATCTCCATCACCATCACCATCCAATCGACCAATTTTGACCCCTCTCCAAACTCTCAACTTCACCAGACGACATCGTTCTGGCCTTTTTAGAAACTCCAGTTATTTACGCCTCTCTCTCTCTCTCTCTCTCTCTCTCTTCCCCAACCCAAATCTTCTGTCAGCTGCAAATCCAAATTGCATCGCTGAAATAACGAAATCTCTCCTCACCCAATTTCCCCTTTTGCCCTCTTTGTCTATTTCTAATTTCTATTTGCTTCAAATTAATTTCGGAATTAAATAAATTTTCGAGCTAGGGTTCTTTATTTTTTTTTGGAATAAAACAAGATTGGTTGCTAATTCATAAATTTGGGCTGATTAATTAATGGCGTCAAGTTTTGATCGGTGGGAGAAAGATCCATTTTTTCCGGCGGCCGAAGAAGTTCAAGAATCCGCCGACAGGTAGCATTTCTCATTCTGTTATTTCTACCGCTCCAGTTCCAAATATGTTCATCAATTTGTAGTTTTTTTCCAATAAATTTGCAACTTTTCGACGTTTTATTGAATTTTGAATGCATCTTTAATTTGATAGCTTCCAGCACATTTGAATCAAATCTCAGCTTTAGGCGACGTTCAGCAGAAACGAAATTTGGCCCCATTTAATTAAAATTCATGATTTACGATTTAATGTTCCATTTTTTTCCTATACAATTTGTTTATAAACCCATTGAGTAATCGGTGTTTATCCGTGATGTGTTTATGTGAAAACCGGAATTGGGGTTTTTGTCTGCACTTGTTCTTCAAATGCAAAGTGCATTGACTGCTAAGGATGATATTTGGTTTTTGTTGTAAATTGTATGTTAATTTTGTTTTCTATGTGGTTCTGAAGGATGGAATCTACTTATCGGACATGGATCCACGCCAGGAAGGACGCTTCCTGTATGTGGGATCCCGAGGAACTTTGCAGGGATCTTCGTACAGCTCTTGGAACTACCAAATGGCAGGTCCTCTTCTTTCTTTTGCTCTTCAGCTATGGCTGCTGCCGTTTAGGCAGACCAACAATATGAATTGGTGCTATGCCCTGTATCAGTGTTGTGATTGGTTGATTGAATTTTTGTGTGGCAATGCAGTTAGAGGAGTTTGCACGAGCAGTCAGGTCGAGTTATGCGAGAAGCTCATGTGAAGACGCAAGAGAGAGGCACCGTGCATTCATTGTTGCGATCGAGGAGCAGGTTTCCAAAATTGAAAAATCGTTAAAGGAAGCTGCCCTTTCTGAGGGCAAGGCTTCTCAGCCTTGGGTGCGTTTGGATGAAGGGGAGTGCAATGAACTTGCATTTTTTCTTTCTGGACCATCTGCTTCCGAAGAGAAAGTTCTTGTTAAAAGTAACGACAAGGATGTTGAAAAACCACGAGTCACAGATGGAGATACGGCGCCAGGTTGTTCAAAGAACTCATGTGGTTCGACCGAGTTGGGCTCCCAGAAGACTAGGGAGGAGAAGTCACATGGGCATAGGAGGACAGCTAGTGATAGTGCTGACGTTGGTGCCTGGAAGATTGCAGTTTTCGATGATGGATACGTACCAAGTTCTTCTGCTATGATGGTTGAGCATCCTGTACGAAAGATTCCTAGTATGTCTGGGTTTCTTAGTTCCATGGAAACTGCGTCAAAGTTGAAGTGGTCAAAGAATGGTTTTAGGAAGTGGAAGGCCGTCGACCGTCATGAAGATGCTGATACTGCATTGTTGCCACCTAGTCAGTTGACTAGGGTATGTACACTCTACTCCTTTGATTTAATTGTCTGGTCTGTGGAATGCTTGGACATACTACGAGACCTTACATTCTTGGCATTGTGTTACTAGTGATTAAAATTCTTGTTTTCCATTTAGGGCATCAATGCTTGCTTGGAAAAAAATAAGAGTTGTTTGGATAGTTGCGATGAATGCTACGATAAACCGTTGTATGGCTGGTACGGAGCTATCCAGAGACAACTTCAACGGTCTCAGTACTATATGCAATATAGTTGGCCTGCACGCGTAGCACTTTGGATCGGTGTACTCCTTTTCTTGATTGGTAAGCTTCACTGAACCCTGCCAGATCTTTGTTTTGCACAGAGACACAATGTTGAGATGCAATTTGGACACAAATGTTGTCTGAATAGCTTATATGTGTTGCTTATCCAGCTAATGATATTTTTTTAAATGTTTGTCATGCTAACCGAGCGTGTCCTTTTCTGTCATTTCTTGTTGAAGGGTAGTTTTGTATTCATGAGTTTGGCATTTTCGTTCTTTGCAGTCTTTGTGTTGCGTGCGATCTGAGCTGTGGCCCTTGTGCCCACAGTTTTTGGTAGATCGTGGCAGGACAAGGAGAAACTGTCAATCGATGGACCTAGAAGTAGGAAAATGCAATACTATTTTCACACATTGTTGAAGTGCCAAGCGATGAGCACAGCCTAAGAGAACCTTCGAAGGATTCCACTTTTGTTTTGATGTTTTCCTCCTCCAATTTTGATACCTTTGAAGGAGGAAAACTTCTGCTGTATTATAGCGATATCAGCGAAAGTTGTAAGCCGAAAGATATGTGCTACTGCATCTTGTAATATAAATTTTCTTTCCTATTCTGTGTGGCTTCGCGTTATGTACTGTGACTGTTTCTGTAGTATATAAAATTTAGTTTTCTTACGATATGAAATAAATTTTCGTTTCCATCCTCAATATTCTACAAACTCAATTGAAGTACTGCATGCATAAAAAGATCTCCCATTTTCTCTGCATTGGCACCTAAGTTGACTTGCATAGCGACATAAGCTGGGTCTGCGGTTATGGATTCGGTTCACAGCAATGATGAGGAAATGCTGTAACGAGAAGCTATCGCGAGGCACGAATGTCCTGGTTGCTTTTCTGTGAAGCACCATCTTGATCCTTCTTGCCGAAGTCTATGCCCTGGTATGTGACCCCAGATGAATGATACTGGCTACCAAAGGCAGTGCCGAAGCCCCATCCGAGACCTAGTCCAACCCCACAGCCTCCGCCTACGAAACAATACACCGGTTAATGTCAGATGCATCGTGATGTACTTGACATAGATCCAACACGTTCTAAAAATATAAACAAGAGATTCCGGTTTGATTAAAAGGGAAAGGTTATACCTACACCAAGGCCCAAGAAGTTCAAAGGTGTGCCTGTAGCAGAAAAACGTCGTAAATCAGCAAACAAGATGTATCACAGTGCATCAGTACGAATAACAAACAGTGTTAAGTAAATACGGATAATTCCTTAATGCTAGTTGATAGTCCTATGCTGAAATTGGGGGCTAACAAATACTTAGCACATCATATGATAATCTGTATGAAGCTTAAATGCAGCCTCAATCTCGACTCGAGAGACACAACCAGTCCAACACTTCTGCATTGACTAATGATCAAGTAATCACTAATTGATCCAAACGCATAACCAGACTCGCAAGGTATCAAAATTTTGGCCACGCTAGAGAGGAGACGGATCAAGGGATTTTTGCACTGGTGGAAAAGAAGAGTGGAGGAGGATATCTTGTTTTCAGTCAAATATACATGCCGAACAGCAAAACCCTCCCAATAATCCTCCTGGTACAGATGCTTTAAGTTCAAACCAATCGTTAGTGCACCAACATGATGAAAAAGAATCTCAATTGGCCATCAGATGATCCAAATATTAACATATTTCTGAGGTTCCTAAATTGGCCCGTGGGGAAGAACCAATTCCTACTATTCCTTTCAGTTAAAACTACCCTCCCTCCAAGAAAAGCGGATTCCATTGACATCACATCCGTCTTGAAAAGCGGATTCCATTGACATCTCATCCGTCTTGAATAAATCTCTGGTATTCAAAGAGCCTATTTCTCCTCTGAGAGAGTATCAACAAATGTTTACCCCACTACATTTTGACAGTGAAGAACCAAGTAGAGGATGAACCAAATGAAATCCTCAGCTTACAGTCCTTTCACGAATTGCTACAAATTTCCTTTTCTTAAAAGATAGAACAGAGACACCATCAAATGACCATACGAACACAAGATTTAGGAAGATGCCAAGGTGATCAGAACAACACCACCTCCTCAACAACTCAACCATTGAGAATTGGTGTTTATTTGTCAACCCTTATTCTAAGAAACGGTGCTAAAAAACAGATTCACAATTCACAGACTTTGCACTTCGAAAGTTCTTTTCTTCATTGCTCATAAACCGCACAGAAATCATTTTGAAACCATTCGCCTTGTGGATCCACAATATCTACCTAGATGATATGCTGTAAACACTTCTTTTATTGCACAATTTGTGGAAATGCCTAATTAATAGAGAATTACGCTAATTAAGCACCAAAAACTGTTTTAATTCTTCTAATTAACAATTCTAATTGTTATAAAGATTAAACATTTTTCAGGCAAATGAATTAAAATATGCAATCAAAATTCAACCGGGAGAAGGAACCAACCTCCGAAACCCCATCCAACGCCAAAACCGCAGCCAACACCAAATCCTGAAGAAAACAAACTGAATTGGTCACGGCCTCATCGCACCACATAGATTATAACAAAAGAAGCTTTATGAAATCTTACCGAATCCAACGCCAGCTCCATTGAAGTTGGTAAGAACCATCGCTGCAGCTATGGCGGTTTGCAGGCCGGAACTAGCGATCAAGCTTCAGCATTTATATATTCAGTATAAATTTAGGTTAAAAATGTTTAAATTAAAAGGGAATTTGAGTGGACGAAGTTCATAAGAAATCACGGAGAAGGGAAATACCTATGAAGCTCCAACAATGGTGATTGGGTCCGAGTCCGACTGCAATGCGGTGTGCTCAACCAGTCTCCTGTCTTCGTTTATCAAACCGGCTAGCTAACTGAAGACTGGATCTTTACGGGAATACCCATGGACAATGGGCCAGTCGGCTCTCAAATAAAGCCCTTCATGAAGTGGCTGTACCCATTGCATGCTTGGGCCAGCCCATGCATTCCTTTCAATAGAACATACGTAACTGCTTTTCCCGCCACCAAGAAAAGAAACTTGAAATTATTACATTTTCCATATTTTTATATAACAAAGGAAGTTGCGTTTTACTGTAAAACTAATTGGTAATGTGAAAAATAGCTAATTTCTTATAAGCTCTTGAAATATTTGGTTCATCACCGATGAGGGACTCTGTTCTTCACTTTCTCACATGGTATTTAGTGATACTAAACTCATCAATTATGGGAGTTAAATATTATTACTTTTCATTTACACGTAGAGAATAATATCACTAAATTATAGTACTACCAACCATTGACACACAAATGCTTTAGTTACTAACTCATTCCGAAAATAAGAAGTATGAGCATGAACTATGGACGATATATTGGTCCTACTAGCATCATCTATTATCAGTAGAGTAATATGATAGGGAGACTAAATTTGTAGATTTTTTTTTTAAAACTAAATGACATGGAAATTGATGATTGAAATATTATTTAATCGTTAATAAATGTGCACATTTTCCATTGGTGACATATCATTTAGTTTACAAATTTTTTATTCTATAAATTTAGTCCCCCTAGCATTATCCTTATCAATACTATACAAGATTCATTAATCCATTTTATATCACTTGGATCAGTAACATCATGTAAAAGTGTCACCACCGCACTAAAAAATTTATCATACATGACTTTGATACCATACAATAATTTCTCTGAAACCTTTATCTATCCTAATGTTAACTATTTACTCTCACTCTTGGAAAAACCAAAAAGGTTAGGAATTTAGGAAAGATTTTCAGTGTGCTCAAATCACCGGCACATACATCATATTTCCTTTTACAATTAAAGGGACACTTGAGAAAAAAAATTTCCTTAATTTATATAATAATATATGATGTAACGTCATGTGTTATGAATACATTAAAAGAAGGGATTACTACTATTGATTGCATGATTATGTAAGATTATTTTGGATCATGATTCACATGTGGTGTTATTTAATTCCAACAAGCAGATAAACAGACAAATAGATGACAAAGATCCACGTTGGCAACAATGTCACGGCCCATGCAGGTGGCTGCCGCTGCAAACAAAAAGACTGGCAGTTAGATTTCACCTAATATTTGACTGATAACTGCCCTTCTCAACTTTTCATGTTTTGTCATGGCTTGTGTTGAAACACCGAAAATAGTCCCATTCTGTGCTTCATAGATAGAAGGGTTAATGTTCTTTGTCCAAGAAAACGAAAGAAAAAGAAAGGGTTAATGTTGGTAATATTAAAAATAAAATAAAAAATAAAATAAAAATAGAATAAAAAATAAAAAAAACTTCAGGGACCAATTGTTACATACATTAGAACTCCAGGGCGCAAATTTGAATTTACCCTAAACTGAATTTGTTAGATTATTGGGCATGGACTTGGAGGTGGGCTCTAAAAGAAGATGAAGCCTCCACGTCACCGTTAATGACGTGGCACAATCAATCATCCGGCGCAAAAAGACAATTCCACCCCGCTACTCCATGTGAGTAGTTGGCGCAGAAATGTTGAAAAATCGAAGACGCGAAGGTACAAATCCGATCAAAATTTTGGGAAATTAATTTGTAATTTCTCAGAGAGTTCCAAATCCGAGAACATGAGCTGGTGGTGGGCCGGAGCTGTTGGCGCTGCCAAGGCAATCACAATTTCTCCGCCATCGATCCTTTCCAATATTTTTTTTTTCCAATTTTTTTCCTAATTAACGTTTTTAATTCCGATTTTTGCAGAAAAAATTCGAAGAAGACGAACACCTGCGCGGCCCCCAGAGCGTGGGTCTCGTGATCGGCGTCACCGGCATAGTCGGCAACAGCCTCGCGGAGATCCTCCCCCTCTCCGACACCCCCGGCGGCCCATGGAAGGTCTACGGCGTCGCGCGCCGTCCCCGCCCCAACTGGAACGCCGACCACCTCGTCGAGTACATCCAGTGTGACATCTCCGATCCCGACGACGCCAAAGCCAAGCTCTCTCCGTTAACCGACGTCACTCACATCTTCTACGTCACCTGGACCAACCGATCCACCGAGGCAGAGAACTGCGAGGTTAACGGTAATATGCTGCGCAACGTTTTGGACTCCGTCATCCCGAACGCGCCGAAGCTCAGCCACATCTGCCTCCAGACCGGCGCCAAACACTACGTCGGACCGTTCGAGTCCTTCGGTAAGATCCAGCCGCACGATCCGCCGTTTACGGAGGACTTGCCCCGATTGGACGCCCCAAATTTCTACTACACCCAGGAAGACTTGTTGTTTGCTGAGGTGGAGAAGAAAGAGGATCTGACTTGGTCGGTGCACCGACCCGAGACGATTTTCGGGTTTTCCCCTTACAGCTTGATGAACATCGTGGGCACGCTCTGCGTCTACGCGGCGATATGCAAGCACGAGGGGCTGCCGCTGAAGTTTCCGGGAAGCAGTGCGGCGTGGAATTGTTACTCGGTGGCTTCTGATGCTGATCTCATTGCGGAGCAGCAGATATGGGCGGCGGTGGACCCGCATGCGAAAAACGAAGCGTTTAATATAAACAACGGGGATGTGTTCAAGTGGAAGCATTTCTGGAAGGTGCTGGCGGAGCAGTTCGGGATAGAGGAGTATGGGATTGACGAGGGAGGCGGGAGGCTGAGCTTGGCGGAGCGGATGAAGGGGAAGGAGGGGGTGTGGGAGGAGATAGTGAGGGAGAATGAGCTGCAGGCGACGAGGTTGGAGGAGGTGGGGGTGTGGTGGTTTGTGGATGCTATGCTGGGTGGGGAGGCTATGATTTGTAGCATGAACAAGAGCAAGGAGCATGGGTTCGTCGGGTTTCGAAACTCGAGGAATTCGTTTGTTACTTGGATTGACAAGGTGAAATCTTTCAAGATTGTGCCTTGATCGATCGATGATTGCATTGGTGGATTGGTGATGTTCGTTGTGGGTTTCTTGTCCTTGCTCTATATGTAGCACACAAACTACTGTTGTGATTTTATAGTTTGAAATTTGATGAACTTTATTGTGTTTGTCTTCGATAAGGAAGAAAGTTGTCATTTTCTCTACCGTGGTATTATTTCATCCTAAAAACGTTATAATTGGAATTGTTTCGTCGTAAAAATGTTATAATCGAAATTGTCCGTATTATTTATATCGGTTATATATGGTGAAATTATGTCATGTTATTTGAAATTAAAACCTTTTGCTTTAACGAGGAATACGAGTTTGTGGGAGATTGAGAGGCTTTATTTGTGTAATTGAGCTTAATCAAATTGGAAACGTTGTCCAATATCGCCAACTTTTTGGTCTGATACCGAAGGCCCATTGAGCTCATTCACTCAACAGGTGAGTTTGATAATTCTTGTTTTGTTCCCAAGTGTTAATGAAATGAATGAAAACGTTTTTAGTAAAATTAATTTTTTATTCTAAAAACATTTGAAGTGTTTTTTCAGAATCTATTTGACTTGTACTAAAGATTAGGTTCGAAACACTTTTACAAAAACGTTTTGAGTCATTTAAAAAAATTTCTAAACGAGCTCTATATAATAATAATAATAATCTTCTCAATAAATATCTCAAAGTCATACCCAAAAAAGAAAGAAATTATGTTAGTCGGTGAGTTTGCGTGCGAAACTTCTTTAATAGTATGTGACATTGCCCTATATGAGGTAATTAACCTTTTGGGCCTTATCCTAATGGGCTTTAAGCCCAACTAATCAAGCAAAATAGTACACTTTCAATCTTTTTGCTAGGCCCACATTCTTTTGCGATCTCAGTTTCAGTGTTTAGGTTAAACAGTTCATGTGCTATATAGAAGCTCATCGGTTGATGGGATGTTGAAATTTTAGTGTGACACGCAAATAGCTGCGTGATGCTACTGATCGAATTCCAATGGTGTTTACTGATCATGGGAGTCAGTGTGGTCAATGCATAAGCAAACTGATTTTTCATTCTCAATTGATAAATTGAAGGTAATTCGTCTTGAACTTTAGGGGCATGTCTTAAAAAGTGGTTAAAGATATTGGCACTATATGTAATTTAAATGTTTTGTATAGATTAAATGAAAGCTTACCCTGAATTGCAGAAGGGTTTAGAGAAATGTTTTTGGTTCTAGAAGCACGCTACGTGCTTTTTCAGGATTCATTAGTTTTTTTACTAAGATTAGTTTCAAAAACATTTTCATCAAAAGCGGTTTCAGTTACTTTAAAAGCACTTTCAAACGAGTCCTTAAACAACATAATAAATTGCAAAAAAGATGTTTTTTTCCTCAGATAGTGTGATAGTAGTAGTAACGTGAGATTGTTCTACTACAATATGTGTATCTATTGGTTAGTATTATAAGTGAAAACTTTTGAGTATAATGGTTATATGGTATACCATCATGTAGTGTTATTAAGTCATATTAACCAATGATATATGGCTGTGACATGTGGCATGATCAAATGTGTCGAGGTGTTTACAAGAGGTTAAGGTAGTTGGAAGGATAAGGTTGTTAAGAATGATATAATTGTAATTGTGTGAGTTAGTTAGAGGGATATTCTTGTAAATGTGGGCTATGGATGTTTACCATATGAGAGGTGTTATTCCCATCCCAATGTCTTATCTTCCCACCCACCTTTTTATGATTTTTTTAATTACAAATTTGTCCATTTGAAAAAAAAAGTTTGGGAGTGTTAACTCTCACTCTATATTCAAAAAATTTGTCTCCCTTAAACCCTAACACATTATTCCCATCTCCTTTCATTCAGAGAAAGTAAAAAGAATGAACTTAGAAGATGATGTTTCTATGGAATAAGCGAATGATTATGTCTCCGTCGAAGAGGTAAAAGATAATTTTATGTGGGTCATCTTGATTTGTCGACATGTATAGCTCTGTGACTTTTTATTTGAATTTACATTAGGTTAGGTGCAATTTGTTTCACGTTTTCCTATGAGAATTCCTGGAAAACTGGAATTTATTTTCATTAGGTTAGGGTAAATTTGTTTACGAAAGCCAATTCCCACATAGAACGGAAGGTTCAGCGAGGCAATAGCAAGGGCGGGGGAGGTTCCACCAACGACGTCACTATCTTGCTGGCTCTGCTGCATTGTAGTGACGACCATGATTCGTTTCTCTGCTGCTGCTGCTGTATCTGAGTGGCGGCGCGTAGGTTGCAGGTGCGGGAGGGGCGGTTGCTCATGGATAAGGAAGGCATGAGGGCCGGGGCCAATGCCTTGTTGTCTTTCTGAGAAGGTTGTTCTTGCTGCTGGGGCTTTGACGAGGATTAGACGGTTGGGATCGAAGGAAGTGAAGATTCCAGAAACATGGTTTTGGGGAGATCGAGAAGAGAGATAAAGGGTATAGGATAAGATTACATGTAGAGGAACAACAACATTGGGGGTTATAGTTTATGGTTGATTTTGTTTTTGGTATTTTAGAGTGAGAAACACAGAGGAGAGAGGAGAGAGAAGAAGAAGGGCATGGAGGGGGATGAGGGACCAAAAGCTCCAAATCACCATGCACATATCATCGGGGTTTATTATTTTCTAAGTTAATTGGGAGTAGCTTCATTAAATTTTACGAGGCATGTCTCAATTTACGTTCAACATACATCTGGTGCTAGTGATTGAATTTTTTTCATTTTATGTTGTTCGGACTGTTGTCTTCTGTTTAGTCGATATATACATCATGCTCGGAAAAGCATTCTTGCCAAACCTGGGGTTTATTATTTAATGAGTTAATTGGCACTATTTTCAACTTGATGTAATGCTCATTTATTTACGTATGGTGGAATTCGTTTGCACCTGGTAGATGAATCTGGTAATAATTCAGCATCTACACATATGGTGGACTGTACTAGTGAATTTACCATAAACAAGGTAATATTTGCTTAACTTCGCAATTGATTCACTTGTACTCTTGTATGTTTATTCATAATGTGCAATTTTGGTACGTAGTTATTCAAGAGTAGAGAAGAATTAATACAATGGGCTCGAGAAATTGGGAAGGTCAATGGTTTTGTTATTGTGACGTTACGATCCGATCAAGGTGGAAAAGATAACAGGAGCCCTAGACTAATATTGGGTTGTGAAAGGAGTGGACAATATGTAAGTCGAATTCACAAAAAAGACATAAAGGATGAGGATAGAAGGAATTATGGAACGAAGAAATGTGGATGCCTGTTTCAATTAAAAGGTAAAAAGCTAGCAACTGATGATGATTGGATATTGGCGGTAGTTATTGGAGTGCATAATCACATAGCAGCAGGCCATTTGGAGGGTCATTCCTTTGCTGGTAGATTATCGTCTGAATCATTATTGACTGATATGTCTAAAAGTTTGGTGCAACCAAAAGAGATTTTAACTACACTAATACGAAGAGATAAACGAAACGTATCTACACTGAGGACAATTTATAATGCACGTCAACATTTGAGGCTTTTGGAGAAAGGTGGGAGGTCCCAAATGCAACAATTGATGAGTAAGCTATCTGAGCATAAGTACACTGAGTGGCATAAGAGTTGCCCAAAGACTAATACTATTTTGGACTTGTTTGGAATTGTTACATGCATTTCCACATAGTTTGATTATGGATTGTACGTACAAAACCAATATGTATTGTATGCCATTGTTAGAAATTGTTGGAGTTACGTCAACTGATATAACATTTTCTGTTGGTTTTGTTTATCTTTTTGCAGAATGAGAAGATAATTACGTTTGGGCCTTGAGTCTATTACGAGGACTCATGGATGGTATTGTATGCCTGATGTTATTGTGACAGATAGAGAAATGGCTTTGATGAGGGCCATTGAACTTATATTTGGTACAAGTAAGCATTTATTATGTAGATGGCACATCATTAAGAATGTGCTAGCCAAGTTAAAAAAATTATATAAGTCCAAGGAAGATTGCAATAGATTTTTGGAGAAATGGAATATAATGGTTTCATCTTTTACTGAAGCCGATTTCATAAGGTAGACAAGAAAACTATGCAATGGGTTTAGTATGTATCAAGAGATGCTTCTGTTGATGCACAAAACCGGAGGTCTTGGAACAACGTAAATCCGACCGTGAATCTGCAAGTAATGTAAATAACACAAGATGTATCGTTGTTCACCTCAAGGTTTGGGCTACATCCACACTGATATTGTATTTCTGTGAGAGGTGAGGGGAGTGAGGGAGAGAGCTTTTGAGGGTGAGAGAACTCTTCCCATGGCCTAAGAAATGGCCTCTGGAAGTGAGGAGGCTCTCTCTAATTGTGAGGGTGATAGGTCATTTTATAGAATAAGGGCTCCTCACTTATTACATATTTGCCCCTTCCCTTATTACATAATTACATTTGAGTCCCCCGAGTATTTATACGAGATCTAAATACGGAGGCTCTAAGTATGGTATAAACAGTAGTCCCCCAAGTCTTCAGTCAAGATAGTCTTTTGGCTGGAGACTTGAAATTCAGTCCATGTGTGGGCCGAAGTAACTAGATGTCGTCTAGGACTGATACTCGATATGAGGCGGTGCTCAATCTGAAATGATGCTCAACTAGAAGTAGCACATGTTGCGAGGCTGCTCTGCTTGTGACTTATGTTGCCTTGGTTGGCTCGGCTTGTGGCGTTGAAGGTGAGGGAGTCCATTTTATAGAATAAGGGCTCGCTTCTCAATACATGAACGATGGGCTAGAGCTGATGCTCTCTAATGATGGTGAGGGAGTCCCTTTTATAAAATAAGGGCTCGCTCCTTAGTACATAAATAATGGGTGCTCTCTAATGAAAGTGAGGGAGTCCCATCTATAGAATAAGGGCTCGCTCCTCAATACATGAATAATGGGTTAAGTCCCCCGAGTATTTTTCATGAGGCCTAGTTGAGGCCCAATATATGGTACATAATGTAGTCCCCCAAGTCTTCGGTCAATAGAGTCTGTTGGCTGGAGACTTCAAATTGAATCCATGTATGGGCCGAAGTGGCGGTTGTTCGGAGGTGGTATTTGTATACCCTGCACTGAAGCTTTGTAGGTGAAGCCTTGCAAGTGAAGCTTTGAAGCTGGAGCTCTGTAAATGAAGCTTTTGAATCTAGAGCTTTTTGTAAATGAAGCTTTTGAAGCTAGAGCTCTGTAAATGAAGCTTTTGAAGCTAGAACTTTTGTAAATGAAGCTTTTGAAGTTAGAGCTCTGTAAAT